TGAAGACCTTCCCACTGATCACAAAAGGATGATTAAAATTAAAAAAATCAATGTATTACAGCAATTGGCTAGCTATTTAAGAAAAAAACTGATTTTCAGCCTCACTGTGCTAAGTTGCTTCAGTTGTGTCCGACTGTGTGAGACCCCATGGACTGTAGCCTGCCAGGCTCCTCTGTCCTTGGGATTCTCCAGGCCAGAATACTGGAGTAGGTTGCCTATTAATGCTTCTCAGCCTCACACTAGATGTCAAATTGATTCCAGGTGGATTAAGAAGCTAACTCAAAAAAAAGAAATAGCAAAAAAGAAACTTTTATCAGATATAGAAGGCCTTTCTAGCATAACACATAAAGAATAGACATGGATAATGAAAATAAAAACTCAGTGTACATCAAGATATACCATGAACAAAATTTAGAGGATTAAAAAAACAGGAAAAAAAACTGTAACTTGTATTTCATAAGAGGGCTTTTATGAATTCACAAGAAAAATAAATACACCAAAGAAATAAAAAGTCACAATATACACACTGAAACATAAATGTAAATATAAATATTTATAAAGACTAAAAAGATATATGGCAAAATGTTAACAGTGGTTAATCATGTACTTGAAATTATAAAAATTTTAATCTTTTCTGTTTACTTACGCTTAAGCTGACTCATTTGGAAAGACCCTGATGCTGGGAAAGATTGAAGGCAGGAGGAGAAGGGCCGATCACAGAGGATGAGATGGTTGGATGGCATCACCAACTCAATGGACATGAGTTTGAGTAAACGCTGGGAGTTGGTGATGGAGAGGGAGACCTGGTGTGCTGTGGTCCATGGGGTTGTGAAGAGTCAGACATGACTGAGTGACTGAACTGAACTGAAGCATTCTTCAATGAGTATGTTATAAAAATATATAATAATAGTAAAAAAAAATAAGAGAGAGAGAGAATAGGAGGAAATAGTCACTCTAATAAAACACTAATGAAGGCATTAGTTTGGCATATTACTTCAGAAGGGGAATTTAGCAATACTTGCCAGAAGCTGTAATATTTCACACACACTTTGAATCAGTAATTTCTTTTTTTTACAATTTCTTCTACAGAAATAACCAAGACTAGGTAAGAAAAATATAGCTGTAAGAATGTTTATGACCTTGCTGTTCAAAACAGAAAGAAATGAAAATAAACAAAACATTTCACAGTGTAGTTCAAGCTGAATAATTGTGGGCTGTGCCCTCAATGAAATATTAGAAAGCTACTAAAATGGAAATGCAATGGTATGGAAATATTTGGGTTGAATTATTGAACAAAAAAGTCATATTATGAGATAAAGCTCAGACAACATTTTAATGATCTCTATAGCTGATATCTATATTTCTCTCTCTAAATACATTTATACATATATCAAAAGATATGAAATCTATAACTTAAAATATTAATATGGTTACCCTCTGAGTAGTGAGATTCCAAATGATTAAAAATGTTTGCTTATTTGTAACTTCTAAAGTGTTTTTCCAAAATTGTGTGTATGTAGATATATACACACATATGCTTTTTTGAAATGAAGAAAAAAGCATTTTTAAAAAGGCAATCATTTTAACTAGCAGTCATATTCAATGAGTTCATTATTGGGCTTGTACTAATTACTTTTAAAATTCAAATATGAAAAAGACTTGTGTCACAGAGCACAGTAAATAAGAAGACCCTTCCTATACAATAATCCTAATCCATATTCCATAGCCCCTTAAAATGGGGTCAATAAGATACTTCTTGACATCAATTATCTTTGATGAGCTTTGAGAAAGATCTGGCTTATATTAAATTCTGTGATTAGGGAGTAATTTTATAGCAAGATTTGAATATCATTGTGGAATGGCTAATTTTTGTTTCAAAAGTAATCATATGTGTTTAGAACTCTATGCTTACACAGCTCTTTTATCTATACTATTTTATTTGAATGCTCACAGCAGGTTTTTTTGCACATGAGGAAACTGAAGTTTTAAAATGTAAAGGAACTTGTTCCATGTTACTCTGCTAGTAGTGGATGGAATTGGGTTTAAATCCAGAACTTCTAATGGGAGTCAAACAAGAGGGCACAGATTCCATACTCTTTGCTACACCATTTTGCTAGCATTTAAAAGTAAATTATTAGGTGAAAGTTCAAACTTAATATTACATTGTCCCATTTCTATTCATTGTGCTGACTCTTTGAAGAGCCTATGGAGGGCACTTCAGTTATTCTGTCATGTGACAGTTCACCCAGAATGGTCTTATGTACAAAGGCCATGAAATCCTCACAGATTATATAGAGTAGATTAGGGTAGACTAGAGCTCTTGTATCATTGTATCATATCATGCCATTCTAAGAACGACAGCCACCCTACTGCTATATGTTAGGTGCACCATGCATATTAACAAACACGCAACCCATGAGATAGGCTCTTATCCCCATTATACAGATGAGAAAACTGAGGTTCAGGAAAGTGCATTTGGTCACACAGCTCATGAGTGGAAAAAGCAGGATCTGAATTCAGCTTACTGATTCCAGATGCTTACTCCTACCGGATGCTGCCACCCTTGATCCAATCTGTGTCTAGACTGTGCAGAGAAAACATGTCTTCCTAGTGCTGCCAGTGTGAACTTCAGAGCACCTCAGACTGCTGAATAGGGGGCTATATGCTCATTAAATCAGGGGTCACCAACCTCTGGGATCTGATGCCTGATGACCTGAGATGGAGCTGATGTAATAATAATAGAAATAGGACTTCTCTGGCGGCTCAGTGGATAAGAATCCGCCTGCCAATGCAGGGGGCATGGGTTCAATCCTTGGTCCAGGAAGATTCTACATGCCATGGGGCAACTAAGCCCATGCACCACACTACTGAGCCTGTGTGCTGCAAGGAATGAAGCCCAAGTGCCTACAGCCTGTAAGACAAGACACCGCAATAAGAAGCCCAAGCACCACAATGAAGAGCAGCCCCTGGTCACTGCAATCACAGAAAGTCCACGCAAAGCAACAAAGACCCAGTGCAGCCAAATATAAAAAATAATAAGTACATAATAAAAAATTTAAAAGATTAAGAAAATATTAATAGAAATAAAGTGCACCATAACCATCACCTTCCCCCACCCCCACCCCACCCCCACTCCCAGCCTGTGGAAAAATTGTCTTCCATGAAACTGATCCCTGGTGCCAAAAAGGTTGGGGGTGGTGTCACTGTACTAAATGGTGATCTAGCCCAATGTCAAGGGGAAGGTTACATAACTAGAAAAAAAGAAAAAAAAGCTTATCATAGACAAGGGGAAGCCTAGGGACTTTTTCTACTTTTCTTTGCCCTTTTGTAAGAAAAATGTTCTCTTACTAGTAACAATTTATAAATCTCTTTAATGTAGTTTCTATCATTGAGGATGAGATCTTACCAAAATAATAATAATAATAAACTATATTGCTTTCTCTTAAGTTTTTAATGAAGTTTCTACCACCTAAACAGTCTTCCTGTCTAGCAACTTGACATTTTGCTAATCAGTAGAGAAGGGCCCTTTAAAAGTTCAAATTAAGACAATTCCAAATATTTGGAAACACAGTGTATGTGTTTGATATTCTGGTTATTGTACCTATGGCCTATAATAGAAATAACCTTTGCTAGACCACAGATAGAATCGGATCTCAAAATAGGCCACGAGCAATATTAATCACATATTTTATTTCTGTTGACAGTTATTTACATAATAGTTTAAAAGTCTGGATGTTAATAGAACTGTGTGGTAAGGATGCAAGCTAGAATTTTTCATTTCAGCCCAATGTTAAGCATATTTGCTTTCATCTTCTGTGACCAATAGTTTTTAAATGTTTGTATTCTAATGCAAAGGATCACAAAATTATGTTATCCATTAATATGAGTGGGATAATTTGGATGATAAAATATGTAGACTTAGATGTGTGTCTGGATATATACACAAACATGTATACGTATACACGGGGCTTCCCTGGTGGCCCAGAAGTAAAGAATCTGCCTGCAATGTAGGAGATGCAGATCTAATTCCTGGGTTGGGAAGATCCCCTGGAGGAGGGCATGCCAACCCACTCCAATATTCTTGGCTGGAGGATCCCATGAACAGAGGAGCCAGACAGGTTACAATCCATAGGGTTGCAAAGAGTCGGAACATGACTGAAGTGACTTGAGCACACACAAATGTGCTTCCAAATCACTTTTATAAATCTCAAGGGGACATAGAAACATTGCAATTTGGGTGATTTCCCAAACTGTGCACTTGTCAATTCTTAACTAATCATACACCAAGAATTTCTTTTAATTTCTATGTTTTCCCCTCTTCCACCTTTGACTATTTCAGAAGACCAGAAACAGTGTAAGAGCAAAATGACTCAAAGAGGTATGCTTTTCCACTCCTTGAGTTGCTGTTTGAATGTTAACATGCTGTTTGAGAAAGAAATTATTAGTCACAATTTTGGAAGTGAAATTTTAGAACACTTATAAACATTTCCTAACTTATAAATAACAGACAATTGCAAATGTTTATTCTTTATCTACCCGATGGAGCCTCAGCTGTCAAGCAGTGGGGAGGGGGGGTCAGGAAGGAGCATTTAGTTTTTCCAGTTTCAGAAAAGGAGCCTTGTAAAGCAGGTATAGGAATCTAATACTTCAGCTCTGGTACATTCATATGCTCAGATCTCTCTCAAACTAAAGGCTTTTCTCTCTCTGCCTCTCTCTTTTATTATTTTTTTTCCATTTATTTTTATTAGTTGGAGGCTAATTACTTTACAACATTGCAGTGGTTTTTGTCATACATTGAAATGAATTAGCCATGGATAGAGCGAAGTAAGCCAGAAAGATAAAGACCATTACAGTATACTAACACACATATATGGAATTTAGAAAGATGGTAACAATAACCCTATATGCAAAAAAAAGAAAAAGAGACTCAGATGTATAGAACAGACTTGTGGACTCTGTGCCTCTCTCTTTTAAAATCTCATTTTACTTTGACATCATACCTGTTGAAAAGCTGGCTTGCTGGCTTGCTCTTCTGTCTGTCTCTCTCTTTCTCTCTAGGATGAAAGTGAAAAGTGAAAGTGTTAATCGCTCAGTCGAGTCCCACTCTTTGTGACACTATGGACTGTAGCCTGCCAGGCTCCTCTGTCTGCGGGATTTCCCAGGCAAGAACACTGAAGTGGGTTGCCGTTTCCTTCTCCAGGGGATCTTCCCGACCCAGGGATTGAACCAGGGTCTCCTGCATTGTGGACAGATTCTTTACTGTCTAAACCATAGTGTTTAAAAATGCAAATACCTTTGAATGTTACAAGAGTCTAAGTCATTCATATCTTGATGTAAATGAGCTCAAGAAGATTGCTTGTCTTAAAAGTATCTAAAATATACAGGGTACCAAGTTTGCTGGCATTCTGGAAGACTTCAGAGGGCTTGGGCTCGCTGAGTCTGCAAAGTGCCCCATGCTTTTCATGGGGGTGGGTGGTAGGAAGAATTGGAGAAAAGATGCAGCCAGGGGTTCCAAAGTCGGGACAGAGAGGCAGAGAGTCGAGTGGTGCCGGGAATAAACTGCCTACTTTGAGAATTTGTCTCAAGTCTTTAATTTTTAGTTTAGATGGGAAAAAATGACCCATTCACACATCCATTTCCCGCCCTCCCGCCCCCACCCCACTCCCACTGGCACCAACCAACTTCTGGTTGTCCCCTTAGTTCAGGCAGGGAGGGGCAGAGAATAATCTTCATCTGAATTGGCCCAGCAGTTTCCTATTTCCTGTTTTTGTTGTATCACTGGAAAATTTTCCATATGTATCTGCAGCAGACTACAGACTCTCAGAACAACTAGAGAAACTGGAAGAGTCCTGTTAGTTCCCTTCATGTGTAAAAGAAGTTCTTGAGTTTTCAGAGAAACTGGTGGCAGAGTCAAGGCTAGAAACTACCTGGCTGGTAGTACTATTAAATACTAGACGCTTTGTGTAAAAATATGGAAAGCTAAGTAATAACAGTGAATGAAGGTAAACTAATTTAACTTGCTAGTTTCATTTTCCTCAAGTGCTGTGTTTGTAAACCAGTTTTTGGAGCTTTTCTAACCTAAGAATGTGTATGATGACGGTAGAGCTGTTTGACAAGCCCCACCTTATTCACCACCATCCTTTTTTTCCCTGACTTGTTCTTAAAATCGGGGGATAATTGCTTTACAGTGTTGTGTTAGTTTCTGCTGTCGGTTCAGCTCAGTCACTCAGTCGTGTCCGACTCTTTGCGACCCCATGAGCTGCAGCATACCAGGCCTCCCTGTCCATTGCCAACTCCCAGAGTTCACTCAGACTCATGTACAACAGTGTGAATCAGCTGTATGTATACATAGATCTTCTCCCTCTTGAGCCTCCCTCCCACCCCTCTAGGTCAAAACAGAGCACCAGGCTGAGCTCCCTGTGTTACACGGCAACTTCCCATTAGTTATCTATTTTGCACAGGGTAGTGTATATATTTACTCTCATCCTCTGCTTCCCTGCAGTGTCCACAAGTCCTTTCTTTATGTCTGCATCTCTATTCCTGCCCTGCAAATAGGTTCATCAGTACCATTTTTCTAGATTCCATTTATATGCATTAATATGCAATATTTGTTTTTCTCTTTCTGACTTACTTTACTCTGTATAACAGGCTCTAGGTTTGTCCACCTCAGTTCGACCGACTCAAATTCATTCCTTTTTATGGCCAAGTAATATTTCATTGTATATATGTACCACAACATCTGTATTTATTCATCTGTTGATGGACATCTAGGTTGATTCCATGTCCAGGCTATTGTAGATAGTGTTGCAATGAACATCAGGGTACAGGTGTCTCTTAGAATTATGGTTTTTCTCAGGGTATTGCTGGGTCACATGGTAGTTTTATTCCTAGTTTTTTTTTTTTTTTTAAGGAATCTCCATACTGTTCTCCATAGTCACTGTATTCCCACCAACAGTGCAAGAGGGTATTTTTAAAAATTAATTAATTATTAAGCTGTTAATTTGGCTGCATCAGGTCATGGTTGTGCACACAGGATCATGTGGGATCTTTTGTTGTGGAGCATGGACTCTCTAAAGGCAGAGTGCCAGCTTACTTGCTCCAATGCATGTGGCATCTTAGTTCCCAATCAGGAATCAAACCTGCGTCCTTTGCATTTCAAGGTGGATTCTTAATCCACTGGACCACCATGGAAGTTCAATCACCATCCTTTTTAAAAAAATTTGTGTGTGGAGGCTGTCTTGTTGTCTCAGTCTGCTGTCTTACTTTTTTCCTGTGCTTTTTTAGCTGCTTCTCACTTTTTGGGGAAGAGAGGTGGTGGTGGGCGGTGAAGTTCCTATTCCTCTCACAACTTCCTTCTCCTTTGGGAGAAAGCCAACTAGTACATTCAATGCCTGGGGGCTGTCGATGTCCAGTTTTAGACTCTTGGGTCAGGCCTGCCCTGTCATGTACTAATTTACATGAAATAATTAGGATGTCACTTGATCTAACAGGTGAAAATGAAATTAACAACTGAATTCACATTCACTCTCGGGTATATTCCCCTAGAACTTTGAGGGGTATGATGCTGTTTTTATATACCAACAGCAGCCTTCTTAGATGGCTCCCTTCTAATGCAGTTTCCTTAAGAAGGATCGATTTATGGTTCAAATCTCAAATAACACTTGACATTGATGGGTCCAAAATTAGGCCACTCACCAATGGTCCATTCAAAAGCTATACAATTACCAGTAGTCAAGCTTCAGGCAATTTGTGTTGTAGAGCACATAAAAATATCTGCAAAGTCCTTCATTTGGATGCATAAATATTATCGTATTTAAATGCATTTTACACTCTGAATAATATAAAATAGGGCTATTAACCCAAATAAACTTAAGTGGTGGTCCTTAAGTCCTATGAAAGTTTGTAGGAACACGCAGCTTCATAGCTGTCCTCAGAATCTCCAAGGGCCCTGTGATCCAAGGAAAGAAAAGGAACCATGAATTCAGGTAATAAATGGGTCATTTAAAGCATCTCACTAAATTTACTGATTTTTGTCTCCACTCCATTTGGATGCATTTCCTCATTGATTTTCTTTAACTTACTGGCTTAAAAGACTGCAGTTTTCAGGTTTTTCTTACATCCATTCTTTCATACTCTGTTGATTGATTTGGATGACAATTGAGTAGGATGACAAGTCACAGATAGAATAGGACTTTGATGTTGCAGCAAGGTGATTTCTGCTGGGAGAGAATCACAGGCTTTAGAATGAGCAGACGGAGTTCTACTATGGCACAAAGGTCACTTAAGAGCTTTGAGTCTCAGTCTCTGATTTGTATATGCAGCTATTTCATGGGGTTGTCATGAGGATGATGTAAGATAAACATGGAAAGAACCTACTGACCACAGTTCGTGACAACCATTAAATAGGCCTTTTCCTCCCTTGTCTGGTTTGAAACAGACTATTGGACTTGGCTTGGTTTCTTGAAGATGCAAAGACCATACCCCTGTTGATATCTGTAATTGTACTCTTCTGGGTTGACCTTCTATTTTTAGGCCTAGAAACTTTACCTTCCACTCTCCCCATTCTTGGTCTACCACCTCCTATTCCTGCCATCTTCTCATTTACTGCCAATCCTGTTCCCTTTCCTAATATCCACAGGAAGAGTCAATTTATTGTGATCTCAACGTTTCCAAGGACCTCAGAGAAAAAAGATATCAAAGGGAAGAATAAATATAATATGTTTAAAGCATGACAATAAATTACTCAGTTTCATCTCAAATTTTGCTCTGAGGAAAGGTTGACATGAAACGTTTGAAGAAACATGAAACAGATCCTAAAGACAGATGATTTTTCAGAGTGAAAGGTAATTTTTTTCCCCTAAGCTTCAAAGCAAGGGTTCCTTTTGTCATCTGCTTGATAGGTTATTTTTGACAGGATTTAACTTATGAAATTGTTCCAATGCCCTTTAAAAGTGTCTGGGCACATGAGTGTGCTAGTGAAGATAAATGTTAGGTCTTAATTGAAATTTTAAAAATGTCCATGTGGCAAAAGTATAGACAACATATTGGTTCTTCGGTGAATTTAAAAAAATGAGTACCTTTTATGACACTGTGTTTACACTCAATAATCAATAGGATGATCTGAGAAATAAGCTAGGAAAAAACATGCCTTCTGGATAATTTTTCTCCTTAACATGTCCCTTTCAACTCTGATTCATCACATCCTTCAAAAATTTTTTCTCTAATTTAGACATTATTCTTTGTTATTTCATTAAGAATCTTAACATAGTATACCAGTAAAAGAGTGAATACACCTGTAAAAATTACTAATAATTTATAGTAATATAGAAACCTTTTTTGCTATAGAAAAATTTCTAAATTTTCAGTATCACAATTTCAAAGGAATTTCATAAAATTGTATTAAATTAAGAAGAAATTTAATCAATTTAATTGTGATACAGGCTGAAGGATTTTTCCAGTGCAACATAATAAGCTATACTTTAGTTGCATAAACATTAATAAAATACACTTATTGCAAAAATTTTAATAAAATAAAACTTTTAAAGGATTCATAACTTCTTAAAAATTAATTTCTGAGCAACACTTTAATTTTTTTATTTTAAAATACTTTTATTTATTTGGCTGTGCTGGGTCTTAGCTGTGGTATGAGGGATCTAGTTTTTCCACTAGGGATGGAACCTGGGCCCCCTGCATTGGGAGTTTGGAATCTTAGCCACTGGACCACCAGGGAAGTCCCTCACCTCATTTTTATAGAAGAGGAAATCATTCAAGTCCATAAAGCTAATAATAGAAAAAACATAGTGGCACCTGACAACAGGATTTGAATAATTACACATGATTATATTCATCTCTGGGCTTTCCAAGTGGTGCTAGGGGTAAAGGCGCAGGTTTGATCTCTGCTTGGGGAAGATCCCCTGGAGGACTTAGCATACACACAGGGATATTCATCTTTATTATGAAAAAGTTCAAATAATCACAAATGTCTCCTTACAACCACATTAAATAATTATCAAGACCAACATGTTTGCTTCCTCTCTCCCTTTTCTCTTTTACTTTTTCGGTTTGCTGAAATAATTTGAAGAAACACCCAGATCTGTCATTTTACCCCTACATACATCAGTATCTGTCTCCAAAAACTATGGACTTAACAAAACAAAAAGCAATGCCATTCTCATACCTTATAAAGTAACAATAATTCTTTGGCATCATGTGAATCAGTCCATAATTAATTTCCCTAGTTGCTTTAAAAATATCTTTTGTTCATTTGGTTTGTTCAAATCAAATTATGAGCATGCTGCTGCTGCTGCCGCTAAGTCACTTCAGTCGTGTCCGACTCTGTACAACCCCCCCACCAGGCTGCCCCGTCCCTGGGATTCTCCAATCAAGAGCACTGGAGTGGGTTGCCATTTCCTTCTCCAAATCATAAAAGTGAAAAGTGAAAGTGAAGTCACTCAGTTGTGTCCGACTCTTAGCAACCCCATGGACTGCAGCCTATCAGGCTCCTCCGTCCATGGGATTTTCCAGGCAAGAGTACCGGAGTGGGGTGCCATTGCCTTCTCCAAATTATGAGCATACATTTTAATAAAATGTCTGAGCAAGTTCTTGTGATTTCAGAAAATAAAGCAATGAAAGAGAGATGAGGTCTTCAGTCTAAATACTAGTGAAGATTTTGCAAAAGATGTTCCAATATTAATAGTTTTATAGCCTATCAATTAAAAGAAATAATTGGGAAGATCCATAAGAAGTTATTTTTGTTTTTTTCTCTTTAAAAAGAAGAAAAATTTACTATCCACTAACACCATGTTATGGGGCTTTCCAAGTGGCGCTACTGGTAAAGAACCTGCCTACCAACGTGAGACATAAGAGATGCAGGTTTGATCCCTGGGTCGGGAAGATCCTGTGAAAGTGAGCAAGGCAACTCACTCCAGTATTCTTGCCTGGAGAATCCCATGGACAGAGGAGCCTGGTGGGCTAGGGTCCATAGGGTTGCAAAAAGTCGGACACGACTGAAGCAACTTAGCATGGAGCGTGCAAAACATTTATGAACGGAATGTTTCCACTCAAAATTCCTATGTTGAAACTTAACCCCCAATATGATGGTATTAGGGGGTGGGGCCTCTTTTATAAGGGTACAAATCCCATTTGTGAGGGTTCCACTTTCGTGAGCTAACCACCTCCCAAAGGCCCCACCTCTTAAGAGCATTAAGTTAGGGGCTAGGATTTTAAGGTATGAATTTTGAAGGGACAGAAACATTCTTGACTATAGCACAGCCCGAGACCACTATTTCATGTTTCAGAAGGGCACTTAGTCCACACGTGTACAAAAGATGTCATCTTAGAAGGATAGGCCTTCTTGGGAAAGCACATTTAGTAAATCTATAAATGTTTCTTGGAATATGGATTTGGCAACTGAAAAATACTTCAAAATTAGTAATATCAAATGTTGCACTTATTGGAGCTCAGGGTGGGCTGCCCCAAAATATGCCACAATAGTATATTGATTAGTTTGAATTAAATTACTTTAAAAATGACTAATGCAAGAGGGACACTCTGACCCTCCTTTCTGTCTCCCTGAAAGCAGGAAATCGATCTCCCATAAGAAAGGTGCTCTCCCAGCATCTTGTGGAGCAAGGACACCCTTATCTCCAGAGAGAGGAATTCAGACCAAGAAGCCTGTATAAACAAATTAAATCACTTCTTTAATTTATGACCCCAAGCCCAAACTCTGTTTAAATTCTTCACTCCTTGGGCACCCAAAATCTAAGCTTCTTTGTTAATTTCTCACAAATGTATTGTTCCTTTGTCTAAAAAGTATAAAAGCTGCCTGCTTTGACACTTTAATATATACTAATATATAATAAGTATATATATTACATATACATACATTTATTTATTTATCTGTTTTTGACTGTATGGGTCTTTGTTGCTGTGTCCAGGCTTTTGCTAGCTGTGGTGAGCTGGCGCTACTCTCTAGATGCGGTGTGAGGGCTTCTCTTGTTGTGAAGCGCAGGCCTTAGAGCCTGTGGGCTTAGCTGCCCCAAGGCATGTGGAATCTCTCTGGACTGGGATTGAACCCATGTACCATGCATTGGCAGGCAGATTTGTAACCACTGGACCACCTGAGAAGTCTTATTGCCCTGAGACCTCCGTTTGCACAAATGAAAATTTGTTTTTTTCTCCTGTTAATCTGTCTTGTATGAATTTTATTATTAGTCCAGCCACAAAAACTCAAGAAGGGTAGAGAAGGAAATTTCCCCCTCCCAACATACTTATATAGTTTATATATATAAACTATATATATATGTATGTATATATATAATTATCCAGATACTTAGGAGCAAAAGAGGCAGTAGTTGAGTCAAAAGGGTGTGGAGTCAGACAGACTGGCCATTATTTATTAATTTAATAATTTATAAATTATTTATTAATTCTCAGTCTTTTGATACCTTAGTATTTCCTCCGTAAAATGGGAGACTATAGTTCCCCATTAGGGGAACTCATAAGGGAGACTATACTCCCCTTATGAGTATATGAGACTATACTCGTAAGAATCCTCTCGATAGGCATGTAATGTAGCTAATGCATTATCTGGCACATAAAATGTACAGATCCTCCCCAACTTACAATGGAATCACGTCCCAATAAACTGATCATGACCGAAAGTTGAAAATGCACTTACATTTACTCTCCAGGACACCAAGGCTTAACCCAGCTTACCTTAAACATGCTCAGAGCACTTACATTACTCAACAGTTGTACAAAGTCATCTAACACAAAGTCTGTTCTATAAGTTGTTGACTATCTCATGTGATTAATATTGTACTGAAAGTGAAAAACAGAAAGAAAGTGAAAAACCTTTCTGTCTGGGCCCAGGATGGCTGTAAGTATATTGGTTGTCCATCCTTGTGATCTGGTGGCTGACCGGAAGCCCTGGCCATTGTCCAGCATCAAGACAGAGGATTGGACCTCCTATCATTAGTCCAGGAAAAAAGTCATAATTCAAAATTTACAGCATGGTTTCTGCTGAACTTGGGTTATTTTCACCCATTGTAAAGTAAAAAATGTCTCAAAGTCAAACCATCATCAAGCTGGGGACTGTCTGTACTTAAATTCTAGCTCATTGTTAACTTCTAAATTTTCAGACAGTTTGCTCAAAAGAACACAAACTCAGCCTCTCATCTGGACTGGGATTTCATGGGAACTTAGAGGGTTGATG